TTTGTGTTTTATTTCAGAAAGTAAGTTTGTTTTAACCATCTCTATCTACTGTTAGATGGTTGTCAATTTGGATTGGAAATCTGTTGAAAGCGGAATTTCATTACAATTTACTTGAAATTATTCGAAATAGGAGAAAACTTAACTTCTTTAATTATTATCTTACAAGTTGTGCTTTCAAAAAGGCTAATTTAATGTAATAAATTAAAATTCCCAATACATTTTACAGTCAATTGAAATTATGATATTCAATATCATTTCATATAAAATTGAATTTAAACAACTACACGGGATTGTGCATTAAGACATATTCTATGCGAAAAACCCTTTTGTACATGAAATTACCCACACCCATAAACACCAATAAAATAGATAAAGTATTTTGTGATTTTTATTTCTAAAATTTAAATTAAATAAAGCTTAAATACATATATTGTAAGTGGAAAAGGAATAAATAAAACAATGTTTACCATATAATTAATTTATTACGCTTGACTTAATTATAATTACTCGTTATTGCTTCAATATTTATTGTACTTATTTCAATAAATAGGGAAGAATCTGTCCGGACAAAAATTCACAGCAAAATAATGAAATGTGGCGTCGAATTTATCTTTGATGGTTAAACGACGGGTTAGGTCGTGTTTTGAAGATCATGAATATAAAATATACATACATTTAAATCATCTTATACTCCCGGAGAATGAAATAAAGTATATACAGTAAAACAATATTACATAACACTTATATTTTCAGACAGTTTACTTATGTGAATGCTAAGCTTATTTTTATGCATCTTTTGTAAATTTTCACAAAGAAATTAATTTTAAATAACTTTATGATTACAACCAAAATAAAACCAAAGTTATCGTGAGTGGTGTTAACAGTGATGCCAAGCAATTTGTATTCACATATACCTATCACACATATAGACATAGATTCAGAAATAGCAAAAATTTTCGATTGTACACAGGCAATGAATATTTAAAAACATCCAAATTTTAGATTATTTTTTTTTTTATTAATTCTACAACTTTAATATGTATTGCAGATATTACGCGTATATAACAATAATCTAGATATTCTAAACAGAGCAACACGTCGAGTTACGTAACTCATCTTAATATACTCAGTATTCCTATAACACAAGTCAACAAGAAGATTACAGTAAGTTAGCATTAAAATATCTATAATTCCAATAACAATATCACATATATATCTAGACGATAATTTTATTATTATTAATAACAACAAACAATGATCGTACTACCTCCGATGGGTGATCTATTACAAGCTTAGAATAATTCGTATTTAACTATGTGCGTTGTGAATGCGACTCTGATTCTGACTCTATAACTAACTTACTATATAACACTCAGATAATGGAATATATCACTTCCTAATTCAGATAAAACACGTTAAAACATTACGTATATAGCTTAAATGTAGTAGTTTATTAATGGAACATACTTATTATCTTGTTGATACAAACAAAATATAAATATTATACATATAAAATAATGAATATATCATATGATAAATTAGGAGATAGATCTGATTACAAAAAATCATCTGAAATGGTAATAAATTGAAAAATAACGATATTAAGGTGATCAGTATGGACAAATATGTAATCAAAAAAGTTTTATTTAATAAAGTTGAATATTTCAAACATGATGAAATAGAAAATATAAAAGGATTGACAATATGATTATTATATAAGGACACAGACACAGATAGTCTCAGGAGGAAAAAACATCACAACAACTAGAAGCGCTGAATAGATTAGGCCAGAGAATTAATGTTAAGAAATCTTAAAAGTAGTCAACATTTAACATACAATAGCAGTATAGGGATACACATCTACAACAACAAAATATAGCGATATAAGTGTCTAAAAAGATAATGAATTCGGAATATAAACTTGTAAAGTTATCAAAAATGTTACTAACTTACCGGAAAATAGGTCGACTAGCAAGCCTTTAGATTGTTTACGATAGGATTTGTATTAAATGAAGTGATCACTGAACTGTATACACTGTTATAATACATATGAGACCTAATATGGCAGTTTTAGTCAGATGTTCGTTTTGGCGAAATGAATCGAAGAAGCTATGAAATTAAAGGAAAAAATAGGAGAAATAAAATTATATTTTAATGAAAAAGAAGACTAAATCCATTTCCAAGCGATCACTTTCCTTTTAACTAGTGAAGATTTACTAACTCGACGATATTGTCTTAGTCCCTGTACATTTCTACCAACGACGGATTTTTTCCGTATCTAAGCAAACCCTTGTAAAAGATTCACTGGTTTGAAAAATAAAAGGACGGCTACCTTTTGCAATACAAGGAAACGGTGCTTTCAAATAATATGATACCTACGATCTTTTGAGCCATGTTACATGTTGCTTCGAAGATATAAACTAAACTACATATTTTTTGCATAAATAGAAATTATTTTTATCATAAAACTTTGCAATACACAGAGAAAGAGGCTCTTTATACATATAAAGACATCAGACATTACTTACTAATCACAAAAACTAATTATATATTATAATAATTTAAGTAACCTTACTTCGTTTAACTTAATATTGTCTAAATTACATGCTTAATACTCACGAACCTATACGTCTAGAGAGATATTATATATTCGACAAAAATCAATATATGCGTAATATAATTTGATTAATTCCCGATATGTCAGCCAATAAGGTCGAGCCTCAGACAAATTATATAACGTTAAATAAAAACAAACAAAAAAAAAATCTTTAAAATAAATGATACAAATTAAATAATCATTATCAAATATAAAAATATCTCACTAAACCAAATTAAAATATATAAATCTTATATTATACGCGAATATGAATCAGCATATCAAAGGAAAATCAGTTCAAGCAAAATATTAATACACATAGCAATATACTTACGGCCTATATTTAAAGATCAAGTTAACAAATTGACAGCGTTCTCGTTCACGTTACAAGTAACATAAACATATGAAGGAAATATATATTTTTATTAAAAGAAATGTTTTTAGTATATTATTATTATTGTTTAAAGATAAATTTTGCCATATATAATTAATTGATTGAGCCCAAGCATAGATAGAATTCATATACCGACTAAAATTAGAACATCATCTAAATATAAATCGCATACAGTACAGTACACTTCGATATAATATTTATTATATTTTTAATGATTTTATATATCTAATAGACAGGGTTGAAGACTTCGATCGTTTATATAAGGACGTTGAAAATATGGCCACGTTAATTATGAATATAGAAACGTTATAAAGACAGAATTAAATTTGATAAAATGCATTTAATTTTATCTACATTTATAATATTAAAGATTCTTTTTTATAATAAATGAAGTTTTATAGATTTAGTCTTTATACTTCGTATTGAAGATTTTAAGCTGGTTATAGATATACTAATGATTTACAACAATTACATTAACGATAAATCCTTATGCAAAAACGGTTATAAAATATATAAATATTTTGCCCTACGTTCTGTTATAACTTTCAAATTTAACAAAATATGAATGTTCAAACAAGGCAACCTATATAAATCGCGTTGCATTTTGGTCCTATTTTATTGTAGTTTTGTTATAACGGGGTCATCAAAGAAATTAAAACGCTACAAAAAAATATATAATGCTACAATAAATCTCATACAATTCCAACGTTCCCTTTCATTACATAAAACTCTTTGTCTTCTTAACATTTCGAGTTAAGTTCTTTAATATATTTTGTCGATTCTTATAAATCTCTGTTACGATATACAACTACATTTCGATGAGAGCTCATTATTTTTAATGATATCATTATACTTATTCCATGCATTTCGTCTGAGGTTACTTTTCTATACAAGTCTTTTAGCAAGACATAAAATTTATAACGATTACGAACATTTGACATACAAAAACATCTCACACAATATATACTAGAATTAAAGTATATTATTAGTGAGTTATTTTTGTAATTTCAAATATTTTATAACATTTTTTGGACCCCAGAAATATTTCATTGTCAATAGCTTTGTAACTAAAACATTAAAAAATAGTATTCATTTTTTTGAACTAGATCTTAGGGCAACGAAGCAATCTTATTCTATGGTTGAACAAAATCCTTTTTAAGGATAACAAGCGTTATTAACAAATGTCTTTTATTGAGGTAATACATTCTAATGCCTAGCAACTTATTACTTTGTGCTATGTTTCGTTGAATTCCTACCGCGTTTACATTACCATAAACTACGTACTAATATATTAGGCTATGAAATTTTTCTTATGCGTTATGTTCGTCATTCTTATTTTATATTTTCAAAATTTATATGTTTTATTTATCATGATTTTTATTAACGAGAAAGATTTACATGATATATAACACGAATAAATTATGTAACTTGGAACTAGCTTCGGAATGATTATGACATCTCTTTAACAATCTTACAATGTTAGTAACGAATTATTATTATTATAAAATAAGTAGAAACATAACGCATACAGTTAAATACATTGATCTTAAATTAATCATATCACGCAAATCCACAAATACAATACTTATAACAACTCGTTGAAGCTAATTATTGTATAACATTATATTTATCTAAGAGACAACCAGATATAGTCAAAATTGTCAAAAACACACCCAAATAGACGAAAGTCTAATAATCTTGAACACTTCTTTTACATCACTTCAAAATTACCAACGATCCGATCCCTACCGACAATCCGACTCTACGCAAGGAGTTTAACCCATGATTGAGCACAATAAAACTTGGAAGACCCGAGCGAAAGAAATGCTTTTATAAACATCAAAATATATATAAACAGCTGTTGAGGCAATATACAATAAATAATAGTTAAAGTGAAAAATATCAATACCAAATATACATTAAATGATCTAAAATACTATCAATAACTAAGTGAATATTATTAAATAATATTATATATATAATAAATGTGCAGTGTTACGTGTGCTGGAGTCAGTAGATGAAGGCTGGATGTAGGGGAGGCGCCGGGAGGCGAGGTTGTTTGTCAAGGGGCGCGCAGCACGCCGGCTCGCAGCACGTGGCGCTGTACGGAGCTGGGACCAACGCGAATTGGGCGGGGGGCGCGTATAGTGCTGGGGCTGCTGGAAATATGTTATAATATAGCTTTAATAGGTGGTAGAGCCTAGCTGTGGTAAGTTATTACAGCTCGAACATGGGCTGGCTCGACCGCGGAAGTACCACCCTCTCACAGAAGATCGGCGTGAAGTAGTCAATAATGACTGCGTTTCGTCCGATGAGTGAGAGAGACGGTTGCCCTTTCCCTATTCCCGCCCTTTCCTAGCATTTCCTTATTCCCACCCCTCCCTATCCCTAAAAAAACAAGGTTGGCAACGCATCCGTAACAAAGATGTTGCGGATGTCCATGGGCGACGGAAACTACCTACCACCAAGTAGGCCGTCTGCTCGTTTGCCACCTTTGACATAAAAAAAAAATCCATACGTCCACCTTAAGATAACACTTGTACAATTGACACTATTACAAGTTTTCTATTGCTTGTTATTGAATACATGTCATATATGACATTACTAGCTTTCCGCCCGCAGCTTCGCCCGCGTCGGGTTCGCTTATATCGCGTTTCCAAGAGAACTTTTCAAAAGTCTGGGATAAAAACTATCCTATGTTCTTTCTCAAGGTCAACTCTATCTCTGTACCAAATTTCATTAAAATCAGTTCAGTGGTTTAGGCGTGAAAGCGTAACAGACAGACAGAGTTACTTCCGCATTTATAATATTAATAGGGATAAGGAGGAAGCAGCTGGAAATTTTCTACTTTATAACCTTCCATACATCCAGGTTAAGATGACACTTAAAACTATTCTAAGTTCTGTATAGATTGTGAATAAATTTGACATATATTGTTGTATACAAATGTTATATTATCATGTTTATTTCTAGTTGCTGTGGAAATTCTAATAAAGGGTCGATACGTTCAACTAAAATCAATGCATAGTTTGAAATTATTTGTCCTGAATTCCTGTGATCAATTTTTATTGTTTATTATTGAATACATGTCATATATAAAAGTTTAATTTTAAAATGAAACTTTTATATATTTTTAAGTTTTAAAACTTTTTGTTAATGAACATATTTTTGAATTGATTTTTGGTCATGATAGTTAATAAATATGTATATTAGTAAGTCTTATTATAAGTATTTGAAAGATCTTTGAGTAACTGTACAAGAGAATTTCTTTAGTTAGAGAGTAATGTTATATTGTTAAGTCAAAACTGTTTCTACGTACCTATATGTAAAAAGTAAAATGATTTTAAATTTAATTACTATAAACATTTTATGAGATAATTTTTAGTAAGTGACAAAAATTTTATGTTCCTTTACACCTCAGAGAATTTTTCATATATTTATTTATTTATTTTTATTTTTTATTTTCATCCCTTTGTCTTTATGATTTTTTTTTGATTATTAATATTATCTTTATAGAATTTATAAGTATATTAATATTAATACTAAATTATAAGTATATTAATACTAAATTATATTATAGTCTATTGTTATTTGTTTATAAATACATTTACACCCAAATCCCTTACTCTATACAATTTCAACTGTATAAAGTCCCAAACCTTATCATTACTCAGATTCAAACAAACTATTCTCAGCTATCGCGAACTTTAATCAGCTCTAATTGAATTAAATGAAAAATTCTACTGAAGCAATGCTTTCCTCGATTTAAAACTCAACTAAGTATTTTCATTTTACGAGTGTCGATCGTGACTTCTGTAATGATAGTTTTTTTTTTCTTTTTTATTATGTAAAAATTTCTTTTAGTACTTTTTAGTAGTTGTTTTAGTTTTGTAGTTAAAGATATTGTTGTCATATCTTTAAACGGTCAAATTATGTTAACTTAATAGTCATTTTCTTGAATGATACTCACTTAAATGAAACTAATATTTGTCGGATATACTATGCATTTTTTTTTGTAAAAAACTACATACTCGCGATGTTTCAGATACTTTTCAGCAACCGTGATCACAGCATACAAAACGTTGAGAGTATATAGTTTTTTAGTAAAAAAAAAAACGCCTAGTATATATAAAAAAGATTAGTTTCATTTAAATGAATAAAACTCGAAAGTCTTAGATCTATCAATGGTACTTACTATCGAAAGGTACAGGGTACACTGCGTATGGTGGTGGGGGGATCTCGCAAGGAGCGCATGTCGGTAACGGCGCTAGTGGGGGGCAGATGAGTTGATAACACAACGGCGCTTGTAGTGGCGCTGCCTCAGAAGTCAGCATAGGAATCTGACTCATCTGAAATAATGACTTGACCAGTCATTTTATAATACGTCATAATCTGTTCAGCATTTCAATTATTAATTCAATTATGTCATCAAATTCAGATATAGGAATTTTAAGCGTTAGTTACCTCTATTATGATTTGGCCCAAAAAATATCTTAACGAAATATTTTTATATGATTGAAAAGCAAATGAAAAAGGAACAGTATTCTCAAAGGATGTACTCACAGCTATTTTTGGATATCGTATCGATTTGACCGCGATATTTTAATCGAATAACAAATCATTAAAACTTTACCAAAATTACTACTATGTTAAATTTAAACAATATATTATATTGTAATATTATTACATTTATAACTCTCTGGTAATCTGTGATGTTACATGACATAATTTAATGACACACATACAAGTTACTTTAGTTCCAATCAATATATCCAATGTGATTCATCTCTGATACTTGGCCTTATTCCATTTGCGGTCACATTTTGGTATATTCATATATTATAAAACATACGTTGCTTTATTTTTTATCATATATATGTTAAATTTAATATATTTTTACCTGCTTTCTAACTGCCTGGGCTACTCGAAGTCGACCAAGAGGGGAGAACATCACTCCACCGCTCTGAAAATAATGAAGAAATATATATTAATATATAATCATCATTTAATTTAGCAACTCGTTTTTATATAATCTATATAAAACTGGTTTTTACCCGCGACTTCGTCCGCGTTAATTCGAAGTTAGTTATTTATGTATAGCTACCCGGTCGAACTCTGTTCCGCCCTAGAAGTCGTAAATAACCAGACATTAGAATTTATTAACGATTTCGATGTTCTTTTTTAATCAAACATAATTAAATATCTCCGTCCGTCTCCTTGTTCTAGGCTATCTCTTCACCAATTTTCAACTATATCCCAACAGCCGTTCTTGACTTATAAATAGTGTAACTAACACCACTTTCTTTTATATATATCCATGTATACCATTTGTCTCCTTATATACTTCAATACAACGATTAAAACACTAAAATATTTAAGTATACCCACATGAAAACACGTTAAGGGTTAATATAGCCTCTACCTGAAAGTCATTGCTCGTGATACATAATAACGTTAAGTGGTTTCCCCTGCACGCGATATCAACCCTTAATGGTTAATGTTACCCAATGAAGTCTACCCACATAAAATTATTTAGTCCCTGTAAGGGTTTAACGAACTCACAGATTCATTTATGAATACAGTTTTATCATTAACAAAAAAATAAATATTTTTCATTGTTAGAAAAAGAATGAAAGCAGACAAATTGGTTTAATATGTATATAAGTATCTTTTATTTAAGTTAGTAGTAAATACTAAAATTCATCTAAAGTGAAGCGTCTCAAAACGTTAGCAGTTTTTAACGTTTTCAAAAGCCTTAAGTACAAGAAAGTGCACGTCGCAGTCTTTGTAAAAAAAAATTAAGCAACATTTTTTAAAAAACGTGCCACTCTCCCAATTTCTCAAGAAAACACTAAAGCCTTTTTGTGTAAATGAACACATTTGACGTGTTTTTAATATTTCTCTTTCTAAATCTTTTCTTTTAACACATTTGTCTTATGTCAAATATACAATAGGCAACCTAAGTTCGGTTCAAAAGATTTTTGTAAATGTATGTAATATATTAAAATCTACAAAGGATAAATATACTGTCGATTTAATTTTCTATTTTGAACGTCTATTTTAGTGAATTTCTGTGAATGAAACTACTATTTTGGCATATAAAAAAAATGAAAAATATAAAGTAATTTCTAAATGTAGATTCTATGAACATGAGTAAATAAAGTCCAAAAATAAAATAGCATTCCTTAGAGCTTGCATTTAGCACTCAACATTCTAAAAGTGGCGCTCTCTACGTCTTTGAATCTTTCCTTTCCATGCCTTTTCACTTTGGCCATTGTTTCAGTAATCTTCACTATTTCTCACACCATTTTAATATTTCTTCGTTGTATACCGGATTATATGGCTCGAGTTTATGTACAGAACTACTTGAATATAATGATATAGGAACTTAATTCTGACACACGACTATACGAGATGAGGTAAGTTTGAAGTTATTATGTAATATGTAATCTTTGGATTAATTATGCTTTTAGTAATATATTAAAATCTTATTATTTTATAGATGAAAGGTGATGTTAAGTCTCTTGTACTGTGTTATGTTCAAAAAATTATTTAAAAAAGCACATTACAATATTTTTCTTTTAAAATTTTATATTTTAATGTGGCCACTGTAACAAATAACAAATTATTTTAGATAAATCCATTGAAAATTGATAATAATTTTATTTTGAATTTCATACAAAACAATGTTTTATATTTCTAATTCAAAAATATTATTTTTAAAATGAGTACGTCGTCAAATATCGCTACGGTTGGCTTTTAATAGTGATAAAGCTTTGAAAAGGTTCTTTCGTAATGATTTCCTCTCGGCCACAAAGCAAGAGAAGGGATCGACCCGTGGAAGGCTTTGATGATTAATACAATATTCGTGAAACTTTTAGGCCGGAGGTTGACCTTTTAATATTAGGGTTCGTCAAATCAAAACGAAAGTATATAAAAAATACAAAACAATTTTTCAAACATTTTTCACGAAAAAAATATCATGGACAAAAAATGTTTCCATAAAGGATTAACCTGAGTAAGTTTCATGAAAGTATTTAGCCTTATTTACTGTTTGAAGATAACTGAGCGTTCGTCATTAAAATCTTGTATATAACTTGGAGTCAGTAAACAGATTATTACAAAACGATATGATGTTACAAAGGGAACCTGATACCTTTAGAGATCGTAAAAGATAATGGCAGGGAGGAATTAACTTCAGCTATATTGGATATTTACTTGTATATTTTAATACTCGCTTAAATTCTGATAAATACGAGTTTGAAACTTCGACTTCATCTCTGTAAGATTACATCCAAATGACAAAACGTTAGTCTTTATTTTGTGTAACAAAATCGAGGATTTAATAAATGGGTGTTAAAAATAAACGATTCCATAAATGAGCAATTCCTTTTACAAATTGTCTCTTCTCCCTTTCTTTCCAATTTATTGCTCTCATTTTAAAAATTACCCCCCCGAGCGTTTCCAGGTGTGGATCGCTTATACCCTTCGTTTTAAGATAAATATCCACAATATTTGGATGCCTAGAAATATTTATTGTCCTTTTGTGGAGCGCAAAAACGATATTTCTCACAAAAATATTGTTTTCGGCTGGACAGAATGAGTAATGTGTAAGGGTCCGAGCTTAGACAGTAAAATCCTATCTTTTATTTTTACCAAGCTTGTTAGTTGTTATGTAACCGATGAAAATAATTTAATGTTTTTGAAAAGAAATACTGTGACGATAAAATTTTAAAGTACCATAACGTGTTGCATGCTTCTTTGTATGTTTAAAGAACGATGCTCTTACATTCTGTGGTTTTCTGTTAGAGTCAAGATCTATATAAACTAAATTTAATTACGGCAAGACTTGAGTATTCATGACCGCAGCTATTCCAAACATATATGAATATTACTAAATAGTTATTTGAGGATCCCTCAATAAGTTTTAATTGTAACAGAGGATAAGCATAATATTTTCAACATTATCTTTAAGGATACTGGTAAAATAATATTTATGATTTATATATTAATATTGTTACTATAATAATAGCAGAGTCAAGAAATAGATAGAGCACATATAATATTTTTTTTATTATTTTTTGCTTTATAATACGCAGTACTTACATATGATAAAACTAGCAAGAAAAACTGTAACTTCTATTACTCTGATAACATTGAAAAATATTTCAAAGACTCACTGAATGGAAATATTTGAAATAAAAATTTCTACTTTCAAGATATTTTCCAACTATGCATTTTATTCAGTAAAATAAATTGCAAGTTTATTGGAAGGCGGAGAATGAGGCAACATTATGTATTATCAAAGGCCGTAATTTCCTTCTTTGAAAACGATAATATACAAGATATTAAAGTGAAGAATTACTTGTTACTGGAAAAATATTCACACACGCACACACACATTCTATGGTAATAGAGAGTTCAAGTGTATTTTAAATATTCCTTAGACAATAAAATGTTTAAAATATAAAAGGTATTTTGCTTCTACTACTTCTTATTTTAAGTCTTTCAACTGATTCTTCTTGATAGTAAATTCCTTTCAGTTTTTAATAGCAAATCACTTGAATCTAGCCTATTAAATATACAAGACAGTATTTTGTGAGACATTTGTATATCACTGAAGGTGTATTATAACAAAATAATATTATCTCTTCATATGTCAAAAAAAATGTTGGTGTATCTAAGTGTTTAAATAAAGGAAAATAACTTATAATTCTCTCATCCTTATTGTTTATAGATATCACTGTAATCTACCTTCGTCTATATTTATCCATACTATTCATATTCATATTGACAAATATTGTATACTAAGGTGAAAATTTTATTTAATTTTTTGATGGTTGTAATAGAGCATTCTTCGTCAATAAACTGTGAAAACAAACGATGAGTATTAATAGCTTTAACAAACATGATGCATTATGTTGAAGAGTTATGAACAAACTGAACTATTTTCACAGAAAACAGAACAATTGTTTTTAAAAAAAACTTCACCTGGCCGCTCTAGAACTTCATAATACACGCTTTGTTTTATTGAACATTGAGAAATTCATGCAATGTTCATATTATTGGCAATTATTGAACTAATGTAGAACTAAATTGAAGTCAAAATTTAGCTCACCAGGAGCTACTGATGATAAAGAAAAGCTTGCATATTAAGAAACTTTGGAAGCTAGATTTAGAGTGGCTAACGGTACACAAAATGTACGCCCGATGGACAAGTATTGTCCAAAGTTATAAGCGGTTTAAAACTAGCGTCAAACTTATAATATCATAAAACATTATGAATTTATTTCACAGTATGATTAAAACTTAATAATTAATATTGTATTTTAATAAGAGATAGAAAATGGAAGGAAACTACAGAAAAATTACATTTATTTAGGGTAATAAGGTATAAAAGTTGTAAATATGAAGTATTTCCAATTTCTAGAATGCTTGCTATTTCTAGAATATATAGTGCCAAATCTAAAAACTTCTAGCTTATGGCTTAAAGACTTATTTAGATTAAAAAATACCTCTTTACGAGTTAAACCACGGTAAAAGATAAACTTTATTATTATAAATACAATGACAAATAACAAAATGAAAAGCAGAGACGAAATGCCACTACGAAAATATTATAATGCATTAAAAATAAAAATATGTCATAACAAAATTATTAAAAATAATTCTCGAAGCTAAGAAGTTCTGGAGGTAAAATTGCAACTAGATTAAAAACTGTTCCTAGGGAACTTGTTCGAGAAACTTCGACGCAATTTTAATTAAAAATAACAGATTTTAAATTTTGTAATATTTTTATAACTTAACAAGTTATGACGGATATATTTTTCTATATAAAATCTCTAGCTCTATATCCCGAATTTACTCACTTGCCTATATTAATGTTCTGTACCCAAATAAAATCAATGATCGGCCATTCATACTGTAAATAAATTTTTGACAATTCGTATTTAAATATTAATG